TGACTATACTCTGCCCCCATTCAAGCTACTCATTTTCCCCCTCCCTCCTCTCTCAGTTGCTATAATCACCAGTGCAGCAACAATCATTTAAGACTCAGATAAGAGCAACTGAAACAATGCCAATGATTTAACATTTTATAAATGAGGAATAACTATGAAGACATTAAAATGCATTCTGAAGAATGCTTAATGCCATGCAGAGATGTCTGTGAAAGGTTAAATTTAAAACAAGGTACCTTTAAGTTCGTGGAGTAAAATATATACGTACAGGATAAAGACTGTAAGATCAAAATATTAAGAGTAACTGTCACAGAGCAGTGGCGTTACACTTGATTTTTACACCTCCCTTTTATCTGTATGTTTTCAGTTTCTAAAAATAAAAATGTGCTATTTTTATAACAGTAATCACAGCTCACACTATGTTTCAAGGCACTGCTCTCAATCCTTAAAGCAACCAAATTTTCTCCCGGAGGGGATGGAAGAAATGAAGCATAGAGCCACTGAATAGCTGTTCAAGGTCATGGAACTAGAAACTAGCCAGAAAATATAATAAAAATATTTTAAAATAATGTGGTGAATGGCCAAGGCTGTGCTTAGATTCCTTCAGCTTCTATTAGTGTATTTTTAATTTTTTTAATAACACTTATTTATTTTTAAGAGACAGAGCATGAGCAGAGGAGGGGTAGAGAGAGGAAAACTCAGAATCTGAAGCAGGCTCAGCACAAAGCCCGAAGTGGGATTTAAACTCACTGTGAGATCATCACCTGAGCCGAAGTCAGATGTCCAAATGACTGAACCACCCAGGCACCCCTTAGTGTATTTTTAAAATCCAGCCAAAGAAACCATGTACTTTGAGGGCTTCACCCTTCTGAGATCAACAGGAGCCATTACTCATCCAACATCTCAGCGTGCTTCAAATGTCCCTTCAAAGGGGCACATATTTTATCTGATTATTTGAAGCACTGAGAACCTATAAATGTCACACAAGATCTGGCACTGTGCATTATGCTCGCTCAAGTATTCCTGCCTCTTCCCCACATTTGTCATGCTGTCCTGCCCTCCTCTCCATCCAACTCCTCCAAGGTCAGACTTAATCCCAGTTCCTTCATCCCACATTTCAGGACCACCATCCTGCCTTCTTTGCAGTTCCTAAAGCTATAATGATTGGTTTAATTCATTCTTCTTTTATTTTTTTATTTTTTTTAATGTTTTATTTATTTCCAGGAGAGAGAGAGAGAGAGAGAGAGAGAGAGAGAGAGAGAGAGACAGCGTGAGCAGGGGAGGGTCAGAGAGAGAGGGAGTCACAGACTGAAACAGGCTCCAGGCTCTGAGCTAGCAGTCAGCACAGAGCCCAACGCGGGGCTCGAACACGAACCGCGAGATCATGACCTAAGCGAAAGTCGGATGCTTAACCGACTAAGCCACCCAGAAGAGGGTGGCAATGATGGAAACCTGAGGTGTCTGGATTTATTTCACATGCTTACATTTACCCTTCTTATTTATATTATGAATTTAAGATTATCTCTTTGCTATCTAGTCCTGGAAGGTACCCGCCTCACCATCCAGGCCACATGTGGGCCAGATTCTATTTCCTTTCTCCTTTTCCAAGACTTTGGTCTCATTCTTTCTCTCCCTTCTATATGATCTAGGTTTTCTCTCTTGGATTATTTGCATTAGCACAGAGAAACATACTCTACATATTTCAGTATGAAAATAAGCAAAGTGCAAAAACAAACAAACAAACAAACAAATCATCTTTTTGCCCCACACTCCTTCCCAGATACTGGCCCATACCTCTGCTGGTGGTTGAACAAAACTTCCTCAACATGATCTATTATTTGTTGCTTCTCTTCCCATAGTTGGCAAACTTTTTCTCGACTTCTTTCATTTGATTGTCGGTGCTCTCCAGAGTCCCCAAACCCCCCTCTTGTTAAAATCACCAACAATATCCACACTTGCTGAACCCAGTGGTCTCCTCATCCTCATCTGACTAGGCTCTCAGGTAGCCGGAGACAGCGAGCTGGTATCACCCTCTTTCCCGAAACATGTCTTCTGTCTCCTCTTATGCCACTCTGACTAGTTTCTCTCCCATCCCAGGGCCATACTCTTGGAAGTTCAATATGTAGGTAAGATTACCCCAGGCTCAGACTGAGATTTAAGCTATAATTTATTTTGTATCATTCTAAAACTTGCTGCATAAGACAGTGAAATCTAGACAGTTTCCAACCAGTACATTGTTAAATTTTTAGAGGTTTTGTTGAGATTCCGAAGTTCTATAAAAAAAATTTTCCTACCCTCAATAGATCTTGCACATGACTGCATGCTGACATGGTAATAGCAACACGGCTTAGGATACAATTCAGTAGGGATATGCTGGAACGAGTAAATATAAAAGTTTCTTACTTTCAGTCATAATATGAGCCTAAGAATTTATGTGAAATTCTCTCCTATTACATGTAATTGTTCTTTGGGATAAAAATACATACAAATCTCATTTTTTTTTTCTTTTGCATTATGATCCAAACTTTACAAGGCCAATGAGTCAGTTTTCTAAAGCACCTTGTATTAGGCTTGGGAGACTTACTCTTACTCTTACTCTTAATGGTTCTTTATTCTTGCTCTGCCCACATCCCTCATCCTCTCCTCACACACAATTGTCTGAACTCACAGACACCCACTGGCTGGTTGGCTAAGTACGTCCAGCATTCTCATTGAAAAACTGTGCACTGGAAAAAATCCATTATCTTTGTTCAAGTCCTGGCGTGAAACATGCATGGTATATAGAACCGGTGATTACTTTTCACATATTGATTATTCATCCAGATGATTTCAAAGGCAGGGTAGTATCAAAGGCAGGTAATAAATTTACTGATATAAAATTAAAGACCATGGTAGGCCTGTTTTGGGTCTACCAGAGTTAGATATCAAAACTTATTTTTGAGGTAGAGAGACATTTCCTTTTATTATATGAATAGTAGGTTTATCTTAGGTATCTTCCAGTTAACCTTTTAAAGTTAATTTGTATCCTTGTAACATTTGATACATTTCTATTACATCACTTATATTCTGGTTTTTTAATGTGCCCATTTCTGCTGTTAGAGTGGGAACTCTTTGATACTGAAGAATGGGTCTTAATCATATTTGTACCTGCATTATCTGACACTTAGTAGGTAGGACCTTAAATGCAGGCTGAAATGATCTGGTAGACTATTAAACTGAATGTGATTTCACGTAACACCTGTAATATAAAAGCAATACACACTAAAATTCACCACATTTCTAGCAAAGCTGAAAGCAAATAAAGCATTTAATTTTAAGAGGCTCTACCTGCAGTGGGATTTAGGAGACAAATCTGATCATCATTAGCAAACAGACTCCTTATGGAAGTTTAAGTTCCCCTCATTGTATTCTAAAATACTTTTAACAAGTTTGCCACACAGCCCACCCATGACTAATACTGCTAACTTATTAAATTTCAAAAGTCTTTTTGTCATTCATTTAACACTTTGAAACACGCATGACACAGTGGTTAAGAATCTGGGCCTTGGAGCAAAACCACTTGGGTTCAAATCCCCAGGGGGCTTTGATAGAGTCGCTTTCACTTCTCTGGGTCTCAGTTTACCCATTTATAAAAAGGAGATACTGTACTAATAATACCTCTTAGTCTTACAGAAAAGTTTCGATTATGCAGGAGTATGTGCACATTTATAAATGCCACGTAAATGTTATTTATTGTTCTATACAAAATGTTTGCTTTCGCTAACAGGACAAGAACTCTTGAGCTCATAGATGGTCAAAGACAATGCAGAGGAAGCTTTTATTGAAAGTAAAGATACATACTTTTAGTTGGCAATAATAGTTCCTCTAAAATTACATTTGTCAATTCTTGAAAGAGCTATATATTATGATTCATATCTTGATTTCTTCTACTTTAAATAATAAAGACATTTGGTGGTATTATATAGTAAAAAAAAAACCAAAATATAAAAAGATGAAGAGTAAGGTCATGAAGACCTCAAGGATTTTCATCTTTCTTTTGGATTTTAACTACTATTTTGTCTTTTTTTTGTTTGTTTTTTGGGTTTTTTTTTTTTTTTTTTTTTTGAGAGAGAGTGTGCACAAGCAGGAGAGGTTCAGAAGGACACAGAGAGAGAATCCTGAGGAATAAGGGCTGGCTCTCAGGATCTCACTACTGTGAGATCATGACCTGAGCCAAAATCAAGAGTCAGATGCTTAAGGGGCTGGGCCACCCAGGTGCCCCTTAACTACTATTTTGAAAAGCAACCAATTAATAGAGTATTCACCAATTTATGGATTTAGAAATAATCTGTATACGGTGGGTGCTTAAGATATTTCCAACTTAAGTTACTGGTATTGATCAAAATGCAATAATAATGTAAAACTATATACTTTCACATCAAGTTTTCTAATTCCCCAGAGGCTGAGTCTTGTCAAGAACAAAATAAATGTTCTACTCTCTGCCTACCCCTTTTTAATGCAACACTGACCCTTGAAGTTTTTTTACTGCATGATTCCAAGTTCACAATACATTTACCTGAAATAACAGAATTTCATAAAAGACGAAAAATTCTAGAATAAAAATGAGAACATTTAAACGTGTTCAATCATTTAGTCTTCCCATGAATGAGTTCCCAAGTCATTTACAGTTTATCTGGTCGATAGTAGACATAGTATTTCAATGTTCCCATTCTCTATTCACTAGAGAAACCAAAAATAAGTTAGATACTTCACATTTTAAATAAATTCACGTTACTGTAGCTGAAATGTTTTCAATTAAGAGGAACAAATATTGACATTAGACATAGCTGATGTATGCCCAAGTGTCAGAATGGTTCGATTCATTATACAATTTTCAAGAGACACGAGGTTTGAATCACAACGCCATTATGCCGTCTGCACTGGGAAAGCTTGTGCACAGGGAAGCTTTATTGAAGCTATCACACCGCAGCTACCCCTTTAAATCATGCAACTCTCCTTACCTTCGATGAACACCTCTGCAGATGTGGTGTCTGAGCCGCTGGGGTTTGTAGCCAGACAGGTATAGCGACCTGTGTCGTCCTCAAAGGCCTCTGCTATGATCAGGGTGTGGAGGTCCTCACCCTCACTGCGGATCTGAATGTCGGGAGTGTTATGTAGCTCCTTCCCCTCACAGAACCATCTGCAGGCCAAATGGAGGCCAAAGGACAGGAGAGAAAGAAAGGAAATGGTGATGTTTAAAATAATAAAGCAGAAGTGAAAGGCTGTAATAAGATGCTTGTTTGATTAAAAAAAAAAAAGTCTATGTTGATGTTACTGAGGGAAATCTTACATTTGAGACTGTGAAATTAATGACGAGACAATTCCCATAGGTTTTCTTTGTAAAGCATCTTACATTTTATCAACCTCGAAGTAAGGGATATCGTGAAACTTGGAAAGACCATTTCAGGTACAAAATAAAAGGAACGGAAATTCAAAGTGTCTCAAAACGTTTTATCGTAGATGCCTCTTACAACTTTATTATTCTTACCTAAAGAAAAATATGAAATCTAAACATGCTCAAAACATCTAGTGTATCAGGGGAAACTTATCGTGTTAAAAAAATCAGAGGCAGCACTATTTTTGTTGACCCCACGACTTCTGATCAGCTGAGCAAGAGCAGATTTAATGGCTTCCACATTTCTGGTATTTACAAACCTTTCTAACAGACTGCCTGGCCTCCGAGAGGTACAGAAATGTAGGATGTGCTGTTAATTCATTCTTGCTGGTCAGCACTTTTCCTTTCCCAAACAACCAGGACCTGGGTGTAAGAGGCTGCCAGCTGCCAGACTGTTTTAGCACACGCTCTCTGTTTCACACTTGCCTTATTCCCCCAGCACCTCATACTCTCAACAGGATTTTCACAAAAAAAAAAAAAAAAAAACATGAGGCTGCCCTAAAACCTCCCCTAAATGTGATTTATTTTTAAAGAAATATGTAGGAATGTACCACTTACAACCAAAAGCATTGGAATTCTCTGGAATAGTATTGTCCATTTACCTCTTAATCAGCACTTAGATTTCTTCAGAGTCTCATTCTATGAAATTGTTTGGACTTTGCATTCTTTCATAAAAATATGGCATCAGAGACTAACTTTTCTGCATTTAGATAGCATAATATAGATACTTATATTTAATCAAAATAAAACCAGTTAGCTAATATTACTCAGGGGATCAACTTTAGGAACTTAAAAATTAAATATGGGTTACTCATAAAAGAACAGATAAGACTTGGTAATTAAAAGACATTTACCACCACTACCCAGCCTCTGCATCCTCTACAACAAAACACATGTATTACTTCAGAGACCACTGAGAAGGGCAGGATTTCTTGATTCAAGGGCGTTTTCTACTTTCCTGTGTCTTCATATAGTCCTAGAGAACATTCCAGCGTAGAGCCATCTTCTAGTTCCTTCTATTCTGTTCTCTTCCTATAATCATAGACTAGATCTTCACCCATGAGAACTGACTGTGGATTAATTGACTTCCCCATCTGCAGTAAACTATAGATTTTTTCTCTGTTCTGTATCAGATTAAAGCTCTTCCCTACATACATCAGTCTTTCAACTTCAGATCTGTCATTGAAGCCATTCATCTACCTGGCCCTGATTTTATTTTTTTATCATTTTCCTATACTAACCCTCTGCTTCTATTAAATATATGCATGAATTTATTATTTACTACCTAGTCCTCATGTATCACTTGCCGACTTTCCTTTGCCTATCCTTTCCCTTCCTTGAAATTCTCTCCCCTCCTCTTCATTAAAGCCACCTAGGAACCACTCTTCCCGACATTCAAGCTAAAGGCTGCTTCAACAGATTAAATTCAACCAAACACATGCTTGTTGGCCATCTTCCATGTGGAAGGCAGTGCATTACATACTACGTAATGCCTGGTAACCTCTGCAACTAGTCGAGGTGTTTATACTGCCAATGATGGTGTCTTTATCGTCTGTGGAAAAGAGACAAACTAACATTTGGAGGGGAAGTTAAGCATGAATAATACAATCGAGGTATAAGAGAAGGAAAGAGTAACTGCTTTGGTTAGACATGCTTCATAGGGAAACCTCTGCCGACTACTCGAGGGAGTATGGTATCTGGTCCTTTAACTCCTGGGTCAGCAAACCTACAGCTGCAGCTCCCATACCCCGTTTTTGTTTGGCCCATGAGCTGAGAATGGTTTTTAGAAGAAGCTTAAATTTAAATTTTTGAAGAAAGTCAAAAGAGGAAGAATTTGTGATATATGCAAATTACAGAATGTTCAAATGTCAGAGTCTATCAAGTTTTGGGGGGAACACTGCCATGCTCATTCACTGACATATGGTCTCTGGCTGCTTTTGCATTACAGTGACAGAGTTGAGCAGTTGCATCAGGGTATATGGCCCACAAATCCTAAAATATTTACTCTCTGGACTTTATAGAAAACGTTTGGCAACTCCTGCTCTAACTTCTTGCTCCTCTAAGTGTGATCCTTGGATCAGCAGCATCAGCATCATTTTGCAGTTTGTGAGAAATTTAGAATCTTGATCCTCATCCCAAATCTACTCCATCAGTTCAGATCTTCCAGGAAAGTCATGTGCACATAAGCAGTTCTTGTCTTAGGTTTTGACCACATTAACCTGCATCATTAAGTCCTGGCTCTCCCTCTAGGTTACTCATTTCTTTAATAAAGCAGTGGTATTTGATGGGTCTCGTACCTCCGGTCCCTTGTGCATATGTGCATGTAGAATTATATTGTTTCTCCTATCTCTGTACTAAACACATTTTAACATCTTTCCTTTGACAGTTGATCTAGCACTTTCTGATAGCTTCTGTATTATTTCCTCATACTATTATTTGAGGCCTACTGTATTTGTGCTTTATTTTCCCACCTAGGAAATAAGCTTTCTCACTGCAGAAAAAAAAAATTTGTATTGATCTATTGTGTACTGTACACTTGATGTTTTAAAAATATCATCTGCCACTTGTTACTCGAATATGCTTTCCATGAAAAGCCAAATAGTGAAGGATCTATGGACTAATAGATTTGGAAGATGTTTTATATGGTGTCTCACTTCCTGATGTTTGCAATCCACATTTTCCTATTAAAGGCCCTGAAAGACTTGCAGAAAAGAAATTTAATGCTGTCTAATCTAGTACTTACTCAACTTATTTGACCATGAGATTCTTTCCAAATTTACCGTCTACTTTCCATATATATGTTGTAGAATGCTTTTTCTAGCTTACTTATCCCATACAACCTGTAGTCCTCTAAAAATGAATGGAGACCAATTATAACCTGACCAATGATGCTATGTATAAGGCTGAAGACACTAATCTGTAAGCACAATAAAATACTTGAAATATGCTTTTAAAATAGCAGAAAGATTAAGGCAACAAATGCCTTTCTGCGACAGTCTATTTTGTTTTCTGAGATGGTTCACCCTTGTCTTCAACAATTGCATATGGTGACACAGTTGGTGCTTACAAACCATTAGACTGATCTGCTTCTTGCTTTCTAAACATCCATGCTATTTCTTATCCAACTCCATCAATAAAATTTAAAAAGCATCTCAGATTGTAAAATACAGAGGACACAGTGCAGACAAAAGATGAAATCTGTCCCATTTCAGCATGAAGTACAATAATGAATGGGAGTCATTTATACTGCTTTGACACTCTCAGGGAAAGTCAGATTGTTACAGATATTTACTACCTATCAAGTGACCAGTTCTATGTTGTTAAAATGTGGTAAGATAGGGTGTGACTCGGGGGGGGGGGGGGAACTGCAAATATTTAGATGGCAGACTCCCTGTAGCAACAAAAAGGGCAGCATGGTTCCTGGCCAATATTTAGATACATGTGTTTAATTTATGATTGGAACCATTTGCACACTGGAGCCAGCAATGGCCTAGCAGAGGCTCAACTGGGACTTGAGGCAAGTCATAGCCTTCCTGCTTCAGGTCTCTCATATACATGAGGACAGGAGACTTTATAGATGTAAAGTTTCACAATTCTAGGGTTCCTGGTGAAATGGAAGGGTTTTATATTTAGGACTGCATGCCAAGTCTTTCCGGAGGTGATATAGAAATTTCTCTGATGAGAAGTCATTAATGGCTTTGCTTCTATGAAATATACTAAATATAAAAGCACTTCTAAGATGACAGAAGGACACGCTGGGTCCTTAAATGTGTCAAGGGACTTAGCCCCTTGTCTTGATCACTATTGCGGTACCTGACTTCCAAAATTCTATTGAAACCTGTTCATATGCCTCACTATCCTACTAGAATATAACTTTTCCCAGGGCAGAGGCCCGGCCTTTTTAACTCATTTGCTAAGTTAATTAAGTGTGCTGTGTGCTCCAGCACAATGTTTTGTATATGGAATGTATTAATTATACCTTTTTATTTTCTGTAATTGAGGCTTTGACATCTGGGCCTTGCTGTATCCCAGAAAGACCGCACCTCCCAGGGCTAGCCCATTCGTCAAGACAGTAAATGGCTCCTCTGGGTGCACTTTCCATTTGACAGCTAATCCTTCTAGAACCACATCCCCACGGCCCTTTCTATTGGGCTCTCACACTCAGGGCCACTCTGGCCCTGCTCTATTCACCCCAAAGCCAAATTGCAAAACACTACTGGTGGCCCCTACGTCTAGGATTTCACTGCGATTATTCAAACTAGCCAACCTTAAATCTGCTTACCCTGCTTCACCTGTTCCTACCTGCAGAAAATACATAAAAGCTCTTGCCATGCTTTCCTCTCCTGGTGTATGGGGTTCCTGGGAATTCCTCTGTGTTCCCCCATGGGGTAGCCGGCTCCTTAACTCCAAGTTCCTTGGGAACTATGAGTAACAAACTATCTTTCAATGGCAGTCCTGTCCTAGTCTGTTGCCCTCACCAGACTGATTAATAATAAAGCCTGCATTTTGTTTCTTTTAAATGTTTGTTTGGGGGAAAGGGGCACAGAGAGAGGGAGACACAGAATCTAAAACAGGCTCAAGGCTCTGAGCTGTCAGCACAGAGCCCAATGTGGGACTCAAACTCGGGAATGGGGAGACCTTGGCAGAAGTTGGATGCTTAACCACCTGAGCCACCCAGACACGCTATAAAACCTATATTTTAAAGCACTGAACTGATCAAAGAATTAGTTTACAAATGAAGAAAG